CCGATGGCCCCCTCCCCTGCCCAATCCTATATCCTTTGCAGCAAAAGGTATGATGTGAAAATCCCGGTGGAAAAGAAAAGAAAAACGCAATGCATACGATTGTACAATGTTGGCGGGCAAGAGGTGCGAGCAATCCCCAGCGGCAGCGGTTCCACTTTCCAAGTCCACCACACCCGGCCGCCCAGAGGATCTGTTGAAATGCTGTTGTTCCCTGAGACCGACGTGGCGTGTCAAGCAGTGGACGTGATGTGCAGTTGGGCAGTAGCTCCTCATCCGTGCCGCCGAAGAACAGGAAAGCGATACCCGCGTTATGTGGTCTGACGCTCTTCGTCCCATACTGCTCCTTCCTATTCCTCACGGGAAGAAATTGCAAAGAGCATTTCGAGATCGAGGTCAGTGGGTGCATTTCCGCCCTGCGCCGTATTCCCGAGGTGTTAAAGATATCTTGCAATTTAACTCTTGTAGCCACCAACCGTCTTTTCACTGCCATTGATTTGAGTTCATGAATCCCTCTTCAAGAGTCCGATCCTCCAATGTCCTGATGAAGTCCCTATTGCTCCTTCCTCCTGCCCTGCTACTCCTCCTCCGTGAGCTGCCTGAAGCATCTGGAGCGCCATCTGGCGGCGGAGGGTAATATGCCGGACTTGGTTGAAGCCTGATCGGCGCGTTTGGATCGAGGTGGCTTATCACTCGCTGAATTGCTGGAGGAATACCGCTCTGCTGCTGGTCCATCGTGCTTGCTCTTTGCCTGCCGGCTCGAGTCGTCGCCTGGGTGTAGAGATTAGGCTGTACCTGGGACTGGTATCTCGGCGCAGTTTGGGCAGCCTGCGGCATCATGGCGAGCGGGGGATTCGCGTACGGGGCGGGCTGCTGCTGGTATGGAGGTGGCGCTCCTTGGGGATTCGGACTGTACATGTTGTTGTAGATTGCAGCAGGCGACTGCAACGATTGTGGACTCTGAGGGTATCCTGCAGGGTTCATTTGCATGTTCGCGTAGGCAGCAGACTGAGCTTGCATTTGCGCTTGATGCTGTGCACGCTGCTTGCTCGCGGCTTCATGTTTCATTTGCTCCTGAACGCCTGGAGCTGGAGATTTGCTGGAGCCTTGCTTGAGAGTCATGGGAGGGACGAAGGGGCCAGTGTATTTGGCTTGCGTGATAAAGGGGTGCAGCCGAGCTTGCGCTGGTGTCCATCGCTCTAAGGGATTGAGGTTAAGTAGGCCTTGTGCAAAATCGATAAAAGCTTGCCGGTTCGACATTTCTGCGAGCCTCGTCAGTACTGTGGTTGACCAGGTAGGAATCAGTACACTCACCTCGCTCAATCTCCGCAGGCTTCATGTTCTTCCGCGGCATGGGATAATTCTTGACAATCTCAGGTAAGGTAGTCGAAGAAAAGTACTTCTTGCTTGGCTGTTCCTTGGTTCCATGTTCACGCGCATACTGTTCCATAGTCTTGAGCCGATAGCTCCGCCTTCCAAACTCATCATGAACTTTTTCAAAGAACTCGCCGGACTGCTTTCCCATCTCCAACATCCATGTTGGGGGAAGGCCGAGCATCTCCGTGATTCTGGCGACCTGGTTGTATTCCGAAGATCCAGGGAAGAGTGGAAGGCCAAGGAACAACTCTACGACAATGCAGCCCAACGACCACATGTCGATAGCTGCGGAGTATGGGAGACCCAGTAAGACCTCTGGTGATCGGTAGAATCGAGATTGGATGTATGTATAGACTGTCTGCCGCTCATCGCAAGCCGAGCCGAAGTCGATGATTTTGATGATTGGACTCTCGAGACTGTACCATGTTAGTTGCGGGTATTTAAATCTCATTCCGGATTCGCCTACTTCTTCAGAAGAATATTCTCGGGCTTCAGATCGCAGTGTATGAGTTTTGCTTTGCCAAGCAACGCGAGTCCATTCAGAAGCTGCTGTGCAAAGACTCGAACTAAAGTCGTGCTCAAGCCTCGGAATTGGTTCTGCTTGATTAGTTCATACAAGTTGACGCTCAGGAGCTCAAACACCAGACAGAGATGCTGGCGGTGGATGAACGTATCCTTCAGTCGAAGAAGGTGGTGGTCGTCATTCTTGTCCATCTGCTTGTTGAGCTATTGAAGGGTTAGTAGCTGCCAAGTAATACATATACAATGGGCAAGCAAACATACCAAGTCTAATACAGACACTTCCATCATACTTTGGTTGAAGTATGCTGTGCGATTCTTCACAACTTTGACTGCCACGACTTCCTGCGTTCGGAGGTTCTGGCATTTGACGACTTGCCCGAATGTACCTTGCCCGAGTACGTCCAGGATGAGATAGCGGTTCTTATGGCCCGCCTCTTCCGAGCCCAAGATGTCGTTGACGTAGAGAATGTAGTCACTATCCTCATTGTCATAGCCATCATTTTTCACACCCTTACTTGGCTTCGTGAGCACTCTTCGTGGATTTCGAGAAGACTCGTATTTGAACCCGGGGTTGCATATCCTGTAAGTCGCAGGTAACTGAGTCGTGAGGGCTTGGAGAGGCTGTCGAGCATATCTATTAGTAGGAACCAGTTGTGGAGGATTGGTATGCACTCACGCTGAGAAAGCCACCGTCAGGGTTGGCTCGTCGAAATGCTGGCTGCTCATTGACATTTGTTGGCAGTTCTGACACCCGCAAAACTTTTGTGAATTTTGGCACTGGGCCCTTCGTTACTTGCGCCGGCTGAGTTGATGACGCCGGCTGACGTGGAGATTTAGGCTCTCTTCCGTAGACCATGGACATGGCATTGGCAGAAGCTTGTGGATAGTAGCCTTCAGGGCTCAAGTTAGATTGCAATGGAGGGAGCTGTGGCGCATGAGGTCGAGAAGCTATGACTGGTATCAGCTGCTGTGACGTAGATATGGAATAAATGTCCCTACCAGGGGGGGAGTAGTAGCCATGATTTGATGACATCGGAAAACTTCCTCTCGTTGGAGATTGGCTATTTGCATTCATGTGTGGGGTGAATGCAGCGAATTGAGCTTGGCCCTGTTGCGGCGTTGCAGAGTATGGGGACGAGGGTGACATGTTCATAGGCGAATATCGCCGCGCAGCAGTGGATTCTTCCTGTTGAATCAACTGGGCAGAGTGCATCCGCTGATGTCCTGGTCGTCCTGCCTGCTTTGTCTTGTATGGATCTGCATCCTCCATTTGCACATCGCCATCGCCATCTCCATTGTAAGGTCCTCGGCTTTGGGGGGCGCTGGGGGTCCCCAGGCTCATGGAGGCAGCGCGAGAGGGCACTGCAGAGGTGAGATATGGGTCTGCCTTGACTGCCGCTGCAAGGTGGGGATCGCGCGGTGTATGTTGCTGTTGTCCTTGGGCGTGGGGAGCATACCGCGCCTGGCGGCTAGACAATGGGCTCTCGGCGTACTGCGACCACTGTGGCTCCATGCTGGGCGTTCACCTCACGAATATGTGCAGAGTGAGAACAAGTTGAGGAGTTCGGCTAGGAGAGCGTCGGCGTCGAAAGTCCCATGGAGTAACTATGTCGCCGAGTAAGGTGTGGGAGCGTGGAGGTGGGGGGTGGGCAGTGTTGACCGCCTCTACAGCGCCTGAAACACTTTCATGGACTGTCGACGGCCGGGATTTCAGTCTCAAGGTGGGCGTTGCGCTCCAGTCAGCGTCGGTACAGCAAGACGTTGTTTGCTGTTCGAGTGAAGTGGAAGGGCGTCGTCGCGAGGCCCAAGCGCGGTAGGGCGTCAATGAGGTACTCGGCGCTCGCTCTCGAGGTGCAGGCGGCTGGACAGCAGGCAGCTGCCAGGCGAAGGTCCTGCTGTCGCTCTTTAGTGAGGCCGGAGGGAGAGTTGAGGGAGCGAGGTGGTGGTGTGTGTGAAGGTGTTTTGTGATGTCGTCGGGTCGCGGTGCAGCTTAGCGTTGCTCTAATTTGACTTGGTATGACGGCTTGGCAAGTGGCCGTAGAGTTAAAAGATACACGCAGCGCCAGCGCCTCCCACTGAGCCTCCAAGGCGCATACTCCGCCTATCATTGGCCGTTTGCCTTTCACGCCGCTCGCAAACCGTGCCAATTGTCCTTCAACTGCCCGCTTCTGGGCGCAACGCCCAACAAAGCGCGGATTTGTGCTCCAAGCTGTGCCTGTCCCGTTCTTTCTTTCATGTGCCTGAAGCTTTGGCCTTCTTTCTTATGCCTTACGACTGCAATTGGAAGTTGTTCTACTAAGGCTGACGTACTATTTCCTGGTCATTTCCACCGCCGCGCCCATAAGGCAGCCCACTCATCCTCAGGCCAGCGCCAGCGTCATGCATTGGGCTCCATCGAATTTCATGTCGCTTTCATTCGACACACGGTGTTCTCGTGTATCCATTCAGCTACAGCTTTGCATCAATGGGAGTCGACTGAATCGGATTAGACCTGTAATCCATACTGCATCGTTCAAGCTTTGGGCGAGAAGATTAATCGCCGCGATCGTGTGCTCGAACGAGCTTGTTGGTGGTTAGTCGATACGCGTATCTTTTCTTACAGCGACAGAATAGTTCTTCATGCGTCATCGTACCACTGGATATGCTTCTATACGACTCGACAATAAGCGACGTCTGCAAGTCCATTTCCATATGTTGGACGTCGCTCATCTTACGCAATAGCTGCGTTCGGCAACGGATGCACGACCCTTCGGCCTAGCACTTCACGAGTCAGTATTGATTCTTCAGGCAGGTCGTACTATTACTGGAGCTTGTATGAAATTTAGCGAATTCGTCCCCAAACGCTGTTGTATTTGCTCTGCTATCTTTCATTAAATCCTATGAAATTGTTCCTCCACGCCTCATGCCTATTGTGGAAGCACCTGCAATACCAAACGAAGTCGTTCTGCTGGCGCCTTTGCGCGTTTTCCGAGCATCAATAGAGTTCACAACTGGCACTCCTAACTTTGCTAACTTTGGTATGCTGAGAAGACCTTGGATATGCAGAGGGAGACGTCGCCGGAAATCGAAGGTGGAAAAAAGAAAAAAGAAAGAAAAGGGAATTTGGGCCCGTCGGCGAATCGAACGCCGGGCACTTGGTCCCAAACCAAGTATTCTTCCACTGAATTAACAGGCATGTTTTCTTTCTTGCCGGGCTATGAATGATTTACTGAATATAAAGGTTGACTCGAAGCTCTGATGTCCAGGATGCCGTCGAGTGTGGCTGTGACTCAATCCATGGCACAGGGCGAAGCGGCTTCATCATCGCAGTCGATACTGGCCAATCAGATGAATGATTGCTGGGTACTCCGTAATAATATTTGTACATCGAGATACTATTTGCATAGTAATCGCGAGCTCGGCGTTAAAATTTAAACCATTACTCATTAAGGCCTTCCGGGGACCAGATTACGCCGATTATTCAAGGGCAGTCCACCTCCAGCACGATCACTGCTTGTCCCCTTTGTCTCCATAGCCCAGATCGTTCTTCGCGCCTGAGGCAGTGTCCGTAACAGTCCTTCCAGCGCTTTTGCCAGTGTCTCCGACGCCGGATGCCACATTGCTCGTAGTGTCTCCGACGCCCTTTCCGAGTCCCGTCACAGTGTCGCCAACTGTGATGACCGTCAGCTGGAGTATCATGGAAGAGAAATTTCCACTTGCCTGTGGTCGCGACACCCCCTACGGTTTTGCCAACTGTGTTACCAGCGCTGCCCAGTGTATCGGCGAGCCCACCAGTGAGGCCGCCGATGGCGCCTGGGAAGTGTTAGAGTAATCGTGAGAAAGCATTGCTGCTGATCGGAATTAAGTACTCTTGTTCTGCTTGTTTTCGTCTGTCATTTTGTGCGAAATTTTGAAACTCAGGCGGAATCGTTTTACTTTCTTGAGGGACAAGTGTAAGCTCTGATCTAGGTTCCGGAATGGCTCTTAAGTAGACGTGCGCTCCCCACCATTATGACGTCCTTTCAGGTCTCAGTTATGAGATAACCACAAGGAATGCTTTACTCTAGCGATCAAAGATCACCATCAACGCGGGGCCAGAATCGATTGGACCCTGGCATGCGCCACTCCGTCATGTCGCAAGGATGTGGCTACCTCCCTAGCCCTGCCAGTTAAGTGTATCAAACACGTGCGACGTGGCACGCGGCCCTCAGAGAGAGGATGGAAAGGAGACTATACGAAATAAAATTGTTGATGAGAAGTTACGATTATAGAGAGCTTATAAAGTGGAGAGACTTGAGAATTCTCTACACCATGTTTAGAAAGAAGGCTTATAACCGAAGATTGAAGCGAAGAAACTTCCAGACTCTGTCGTCCAGCCACAGGCCGGCCACCATGGCTATTCGCAGCGGCTGGTTCAGCTTCCTCGAACTCAATCACGGTGGATTGAAGGGCCCTTTCTATTAGCAGACGTGCACGTGAACAGGCGTTCAAAGCGTTCCACACGGATGACACAGGGTCGCGCTCTTCCGGTGGTCTTTTTGACTAATACTCAGCGAATTACTACAACAATAGATGTATCCATGTTCAATGAGTTAATAAGGAATAATGAGAGAGTCTGGGCAGAGGCGCTATGCCCCAAAGTCGTTATCTGTTTCAGATTAACCGATCGAGGAACGTAAAGTAGGATGTGAATGTAGCTCACCAATAAGGGCGCGGCTTGGCGGCATCGCGAGCACTTTTTCTGGCGGCGTTGGCGCAAGGCAACATCTCTTTGGGAAAGATCCCCCTTGAGAAGAACCTACTACCCTCTCTCCTCCTCAAGTTCTCTGCCTGCCCATCATGGTCGAAAAAGTTTATGTGACCTACAATGAGGTGCATAAGTTATGTCAAGCCAACGCCGAGCGTATCCTCAATGACTTCATGCCCAACCTCATGATCGCTATTGGCGGAGGCGGTTATGTCCCTGCCCGCATTCTCCGGTATGTTCATTGTGATCAAGAGCTTTCTTTCTTCTTTCCAAGATGGACGTGGAGGCTTACCAGTGACACAGATCCTTCCTCAAACGGCCTGGTGCGCCCAACATCCCCATTCAAGCAATCGGCCTTTCCCTCTATGAAACACTTGGTACAACTTCAGAGAACCCGGTGGAAGAGCCAGGCACAAAAGTGACCAGGACACAATGGCTTGACTTGTCTTCTTTGGAAATGGCAAACTTGATTGGCAAGAATGTCCTCATTGTGGATGAGGTGGACGATACCCGAACAACGCTCGAATATGCTGTCAGAGAGCTCCAAAAGGATGTTGATGAGGCGGCGAAGCACCTTGGGAGAGCTGGAGAGGAGACGAAGTTCAGCATCTTCGTACTGCACAACAAGGACAAAGTCAAAAAGGGCCATCTGCCAAAAGAAATGGTGGATAACCATAGGTATCTGGCTGCCGAAACAACAGGAGATGTGTGGATTTGTTATCCGTGGGAGGCAACGTAAGTTGAGATCCAATTATTGGTAACCGGTCCGAGGAATGTTAAACTGACAGTATTGCAGAGACATCGATGAGCACGATCAATTGGCAGCGAAGCAAAAGAAGCCGAATGGCGCCACGTGAATGGCGGGCCACATAGAGGCTCCCAGACATGCGAACGTGTGCAGCGGTGGCTATCTCTGTTGGCGGGAACCGCAATCAAAATTTCGTGCTAAGTTGGTGTATTGCTAGTGTAGGCTTGCATCGGTTTGACATGTGGAAAGAGTGGAACGTGTCGCCCATCACAATACATAGATTCATCAGTCCGTGAGCGAGTATTTCGACATCCTGCCATTGCCAACGAAAATATTGGCAAGTATGTGAAGTCTCGCGGGCCAACTACTCCTTTCACGCAGAGCGCATAGACAAACTCCGTTTTACGACTTTTATTCTTGCATCAAGCTAGCACTAGTCGCCGAATTCACCAAGTCAGATACTTCGCTTTCTTCTATCCGCTTGCATACACCAGGAGTGAAAGAGATATAACTGTAATGACTCCACTTCTTGGGTTTCCCTAAAGTTTCAACTGGAGTCGGTAGTCGTACTGGATGTCGTTTGGCGCGATATCACCATCGTCATTGTTAGCATCAACAATGTGCAAGTCTCTCTTCAACTTTATCCACGACTCCATACCCCGGCGAGCTAGTTCTTCAGGTATGCCTGGATCTTCAAAAGCCATGCACCGATTGAACAGTTCCATCGACCACCATCCTTCAAAGCCGATGCCATTAAGGAATACGTCAGCGATTTCCTTCACGGGCAGGTAGCCGCCGCGGTCCTGCTCGCCGTAGAATAGCCGGCAGTTCCTTGACCAGCTCATGCGTGCCGGTTGGACAGGGTTGTAGAACTGATGGCCTTCAATGAGTGGCTGCTCAAGCTTTTCCGCATCGACAACCTGCACAAAGAACACCTTTTCCACGTTGACAGTGTTGCGAAGTCGTTCTATCGACGCCATGATGTTTGACAAAGCATCGGGAGTCTTGCCCTCAGCTGCTGTGGGATCTGCATAAACACGACCGGCGATGTTGTACGTGTCTAAACAAACTCCAAAGTTGGGTCGATCCACCATCTCAACGATCTTCCAGCATTGTTCCCATGTGTCCACGAAGGTTCCCCACGCCAAACTCTCATATGCAAATCGAATCACTGGCGATTCTTGAAGGCCGAGGTTTGCTACTTCTTGAAGATCCTGTACCATCTCGTCCACGTCACCGCTCAGCTCCTCTTCGGGCAGCATGCTAGACGGAATTTGAACGATAGTTGTCCCCAAGACCTTGGCAATCCGCAGCCATAGCTTCATCTGTTCCAGCCGCCTAGCATGGGCTTCCCTGTCCCGGAGACCTTCGTAGTTCATGAACGGTTGAAGACACACAATTTCCAGGCCGCGATCATTGCAGAGCGTTCGTATGGCCGACGCGGCGTCGATGTAGTTGTCTTGTGTGAGGTCCGAAGGCGAATTGACGTGAAACATGTCGAATGCAAAGTACTCAATGTCTTCGAAGAACATCTCGATACCTTCGAATCCGTATTTCGCGGCTTGGTCGAGTTTGTTTGGAAGCTTGTGGACCCATGCGCGGCCCAAGGACATAGATGCTATTGCTGCACGTTGTGGCATTTTCACTGAGGCTTCTTCGGCAACTTTGTATGTGATCGTGAAACGCGGTTTGGAATGAGATCGTATCGGCGGAGTCTATTAAACCAGTAGGAGAAAGTCTAGGGTATCTTGAAAGCAAAGTTGTACAGGAGATAATCCTTGCAGAAACGCGACTCAAAGGTGTTTGGAAAGGGTGAGTTGGAAAGGATGAGGAAATAGAGGTCGCAGTGGCGTTTGCCTTCGTTTGACGTATACGAATGCGAAAGATGATGAGATACGTACTCTGTAGGCATTTACATGCACCTAGCCATCTGTGGACTGACTGAGATAAGTGCCAGCTCGAGTACCGCAGTGATAGGATATGGCAAAGTTGTGAGCATTGCCGTGGATCACGGCGGCGGATAAACGTTATCGCTGGAGTCTTCTCTCAGGCAAACCATGTGTAACCATTTTAATATTCACAGGGCGGTTACTGACGGGAATACTCCGTAAGTGGTGTTGACGTTGAGTGAAAGTACGACACGGCCCGCAGATTACTCTAGGTAAATGCTTACCCGGGAAATTGCAAGGGCCCATGGGCATCTAAGATACGACCCTTGCAAACTGCATGCATTAAAAGAATCTCGCGCGGAAAAATATTCCGCGTCTTTTCCTTCGCTTTCGAACTGGGGAACGCCGTGATGGGGGAGCCGGACCTACTGCTCCTGTTTGGGGAGAGGGTCGTGCTGTATGGATATATTATTCATTCTTGAGTGTCATGGAGTAGCATTCATCCCAACACATAGTAAGCATTGTATCCCCTCAGTTGGAACCACGATTGACCCCCCGCCGGGCAGTTGTTCTGACATCCGAGCTCACGATGCGAATGAGAGCAGATGGGACGCGTTTTGCAGTCAATTTATAAAATTCTAAGACATAAATCTTACTTCTCCTAATATACATATCGTCTGTTTCACTGGTCAACCCTTTTCCGTGTGCTTCAATCAGATCACAAGCATGGACTCAACTAATAATGCAGTCAAGATCGCCATTGTTGGTACTGGCATGATTGGTCCTCGTCACGCTCAAGCAGTATTGGGGAA